TAGTGGTGGCGATGGTAGTGGTGGCAGTGACAGTGGCGTGGTGATGCCGATGGTGACGGTGGCGGCAGTGGTTGCAATGATGGTGGTGGTGGTTGATGGCGGTAGTGGTGATGACGATGGTGACGGTGACAGTTGGTGGTGGTTGCAGCGGTGGTAGTTGTGGTGGTGGTGATGGTGGAATGGTGGTAGTCATGGTGGAGGTGGTGGTGATGGTGGCAGTGGCATCGTGGTGGTGGGGTGGTCACGATAGCACTAGCGGTACGACGATGGCGGCGATGATGGTGGCAGTGGTCGTGTTGGAATGATAGTGGTGGTGGTGATGATGGTAGAGATAGAAAGTGATTAAGAGAGATAAGTGTTTCTCATTTTGTGCCCGGGAACAAAAAAACAGAAATTTTCTGATTCTCTTTACTGTTCCCCAGCACAAAAATTAATCCGGTTCATCCTGGGAACAAAAAAATAAACTGGTTTTACCAAACAAGTTTTCTATCCATTTCTGTTCAAATTAAAAAAGAATTGATTCCGGGAAGGTTGTCTTGCGCACCCTAAGCGTCTCAGGAGAGGGGGGCGTCACTCAATTGAAAAAATAAAAAAATGTGTGAGTGACGCGGGGTGCGACACTTGGTGCAGTTGTCCTCCTCGCGTCACTCAACGACCCCTATTGGTAAATACCATAGTTATTAAAACTGGACCGACCCGGCCAGGTCGACCCGGGAATCGTTAAACCGGTCATATAACTGGTCCGGTTGAAGTAACGGACCGGCCATGATCAGAACCGGTGCGACCCGGTCCGATCCGGCTGATTTTCATAAAAAACCGGTGACCCGGTCGGTTAACCGGTGACCCGGCCCGGTCAAAAAAAAAAATTCCAAATTTTTTTTTCAAAAAAAATCATAATGGACATATTGGAATATGTTTTTGCTTATTGACTTACATAAGTTATGTACCTACAACACTAATATTATCTCAATTATGTACTATGTAGAAAATTTTGAATTAATTTATAGTTAGACATGTCGCTTTCTGAACCTAAAGTCCCGCATCACGATCATTATATTTTTGTTTGATTTTTTATTGGATAATATTATGTGATTTATTATTTTTATATTAAAATATTTGAAATTTTTATCATTTTTTTAGATATTTGAGTATGTTTATAATTTTTAATATAAATTATAAAATTGCATATAATTACCGAGTCATGCGATTGAACCAATGACCCACTGGTTGAACCAGTGACCCAGTAACCCAGTACCTCGACCGGGTCGATGACCGGACCATTTTTAATAACATTGGTAAATACTGTGAACCAAATACCAGATAAAATTTATGTCTGTTAATTAATTTAGTTTAATTTTGTATATATTAATTTAAATTATTTTAGAATTGTTAATTAATTATTTTTACGAGTATTAATTAATTTCATTCAATTTAGTTTATGTTAAGTTGAATTTTTTTGAACTGTTAAGTAATTTAATTTAAATTAGAAGTGTTAATGAATTAAATTTAATTTATGTCTGTTACTTAATTTAGTTTAATTTAGTTTGTATTAATTTAAATTAATTTGGAACTATTAATTAATTATTTTTAGGAGTGTTAATTAATTTCATTTAATTTAGTTGATGTTAAGTTAAAATTGTTTTGAACTGTTAAATAATTTAATTTAATGTAAGAGTGTTAATAAATTTTATTTTATTTATGTCTGTTAATTAATTTAATTTAATTTTATTTTTATTTTTTTTGTAAGCTTAGTTTAATTTACTTTTATTAATTTAAATTATTTTAGAACTGTTAATTAATTATTTTCAGGAGTAGTGAATTTATTAGAATAAAAACACTGGATTGTTCGGCTACTTACAAATAACATACTATGCAGCATAGCATGTATGGCCACGTGTCAGACACAAGGAGCGGACCCAGTAGAGGGGCTAGGGTGGGCCCCCGCTCCCCTCTAAAATTTGGAAAAAAAAATTTATAATATAAGTAAAAAGATGTGATGATGAAATTACCGTGTTGTATACGTTTTTTCCTTCAGTTTCCCATGCTTCTGCTCATGCTCTTACCCATATTTTTCCTTGAGAACATCATATCATCCTCTCTCTTTTCTTTCTGTGTTTCGTCCATCACCAACCTCCTTCTTCAGCCTTTCGATTTTGGCTGTGTAAATTCTAGAGTAGGCAGAATCAACTTCCACCTTTCTAAAATCATCGCATGTATGTATAGTCATAGACTATCTTTGATTTCATACATTGAAAAAGAAATTATTTTGACTTTTAACACAGATTCAATTATATATGAGTTTAATAATATAAAAATACGTAGAGTAAGAGTAAGTGAAGTGATATTAATTTATATAATAGATTTCTTTTAATTTTTTGTATATTAAGTTTGTATTATATTTCAAGTACTTTTGTTTAAGATATAGTATTTTTTATTTTCGCCCCCTCTTATTAAAATTTTTGCTTCCTCCACTCTCAGACACGTAACATACTATCCATAGCGAGTTTGAAAGACAACATTAATAAATCGAAAGACAAAAGTAGCGGGATATTTAGGCCCAGTAGCGGTGATATTAAGGGGACACATTAATAAAACGAAAATAAATGTTTAATAATATGTAAGATAAGAAATGTCTTACGAGTTAAATACGAAAATTATATGGATATAAGGAGAATTTGGGAATATAATGTTACCGACGCATACACATGCATATTTACACACACATTGACTTATATTTGTATCAACTATCTTATTATTTTGGCCTCATAACTTGTTTTAAGTACATTCTAATTTTGTTACCATGCACATATATGGGTTAGAGTATTTATTTGGTGGTAAAGAAATGTCATGTGAACTTAACTTATATGATTGTGTGCAGTGGTGGACTCAGAAAAAAATGTTTATGTCCGCACATTTAATGATTAGAGTTCGGGGGCAACGTTCCCGATTTTTTTTTTTGTAAAGACAATTTAGATTAACGTTTTATGTATAAGGTCGTGAACTCGCTCATAATCTAGTTGCTTCCATAACAAGCTGCAGACAATAGTTTGACCAATCATTTTCCCTTCTAAATCTTATCAATCCTCCAAAACAAAGATGAGAATATACTTCAGTACATCCATACATCATTATTCTATTTTATAGTGGTGAATAAAAAAATCAACACCACCTGTACAGAAGGCAAGCGAAATCACAGTGAAGGTCTTGTCTTTAGAGATTAACTTATTTGAGAATGTTAGACGTGAAATCAATCATCTCTTTTTTATAAAAATAAAAAAAAGAAATAAAGGATGAAGAGAGCATCAGAATGGGCACGTGACAGGGGAGGAAGAATAAGTTTTCTCTCTAATCAATTTGCGTTGTTATGTTATTTTAATCAACTCTGTGCGTTGCTACGTTGCTAACTAATATAAGAGTAAATACTCTTTTTGGTCACTAACAAAAATTTCGGTCTCCACTTTAGTCTCTTACAAAAAAATTAGTGACCTGGTCTCTATAAAATTTAAAGTGGACACATTTTAGTCATTTTAAGTAACTATTGTAAATCTTTTTTGAATTTGTAACCGAACACAATTTTAACTAAATTAATTCACTTTAAATTAGATCACACAAGTTGTTAATAGACTCTGAAATAGAATTCCCAGTGCATATGTGATCCATGAAGCAACCCATCACATGAAGCAACCCCCCATATCCCATCGTTGAATGATAGCTGCACCAGTTTTTCTGTACTCTCTATGCCTTTTGTTTGGACGTGAATGTGGGATTAATAATTAATAATTTTGATTTAGGAACCCATCAATTGATGTTCAAGTACAGCGACTTTCAGTTCACCCTGAATCATATATAGATTGTCAACGGTACACATTGGTTGGTATCTACAGCATAAAACACGTGACCAATTCAAGTTGAAGCAGCTTCCAGTCATAGACAAATAATGACCTCTTACTCTTTTCCATCTCATCTCTTATGTCAATATTATTATCTGTTTTTGTTGCATAAAAAGTTTTTCTATCACTCTGAAATAAAAATGCAAGTGGATTCCACTGTTTTTTTTTTTTTTTCCTCTCTTGTGTTTACAACGGGACTCGTTCATTTCTAGGCGAGTGTTGTGATTAATCCCATATATCTCACAAGCAAAACCAAATCATTTAAGACTGTTGTTGAGTGAGATAGTGAGGCTAAATAATAGCTGAGTTATGGAACCAGCAACAGCAACAGTAAGGGTGACAGAAAAGTAGAGAGAGAGAGAGAGACAGAGAGTGTGTTGATTGAAAACATGGACGAGAATGCAGCTCTCATCCAAGCCATTCTCAGGGAGCAAGAAGAAGATGAAGAAGCTCATAGAAGAAGGACCCTCCAAATACTAAACAACAACAAAAACAATAAAAACCATAACGAATGGCAAACGGTGTCGCATCACAAGCGCAACCGTAACAATTCCTCTTCCAACCAGCCCCTCGCCGACGATAATTCCGCCGCCAACAACGGATTGAAGTAAAAGAACTCATCGGTGGTTTAACCTGTAGTGCTTGATGAATTTAAACAGGATGTAGGTCAGTTTCATTCGTTTTTAGTCTCATTGTTTGAGATTTCATCTGAACTCATGGGCATTGATGTATGACCATTTTATATGATGACTTGACCTATTAGTTGTTCATCACAATCAGTGACATTTTTGCGAGTTCTACTTTTCAAAAACCCATCTCTGCAACTCTAATAATCTATTGGCCATTTCTCAATTACAGACATACAAGTTCTACCTAATGTATTGCTACCTTCAAAGCCTAGCATCCTGCAAAATTCCAGGGTTGAAATACTGAAGCAATTTCCTTTCAAGATTCCAAATCCGGGAAGCAATTTGTCTCAGCTCAAGTGTTAGAACACTTTCAAATGGAGAGTAGAGTTTATTTGGGAAGCAGTCATCGAGATAAAACATTTTTGTTCCATATAAGGATCTTAATAATATACGATATTTTTAGACAAATAAAATTGCTGGATTTGTACCTTATTATAAATAGAAACCATTAAAAATTTGTACAAGACCAAGTAACCGGTATACTGAACATAAGAACGTTGCATGGAAGATTTGACCAAGTTCAATTACTGTACAAACACACTTACTTTGAACCACAACTAAAATCAAGGAAATTGTGATCCACAAGGAATTTCACCAACACCTTGCACCTATGACCAAAAAAGAAATACTGGTCAAACCAATGATCATTTTGCAGTTCGTGAGTGTTTGATAAGCCAGTCAATGACAACATCTATGTTTACAGAATCCTTGCATGAAATCATATAGCAGCAGACTTCTCTGTCTTTAATTGAATGAAGTCCTCTGAAATCACCGAAGGTGGAAAACCAAAGAATTAATTAGTAACATAAGGCATCAAGCAAATGTCAATAAAAAAAATTATATGATAATATTGATTTCTGGAACACTTAATATTCTCCGAACTCACAGCTGATCTACCAATGCTTGCTCGGAAAGAGCTTCTGACTTGTCAATTTTGTTTCCTAGAACAAGCAAAGGAATCCCACTCAAAGAAGGTTTTGTCAAGAGCTCCTGTAACTCACTTCGAGTAATCGGAACACTGTCTCTGTCAGCAGCATCTACAACATACCTGTCTTTGAATCCATCAGTGAAAAGAAACAAAACTGTAAAAGCATGGAGAAACACCACTCCCAATTACTTGAGAGGCTATAATGTGCCACAAGAAGAAGCATGCATGACCAATCTTCCTTCTGATCATCCGAAACAATAGATATTGATAAAAAAAAATAAAAAATACTAAGCTTTCTGTTCTTTATGTTTGAAGCATAAAAAGGGAAGAAGACAGCATTATACAAATTGCTGAATGAAGTCAGTATACCCTGTATTATAGGTTGTTATATATCTAAGCAATGTAAATGACAACCATCCCTGTTCCTTTCCTAATGGATAATACTTCAAGGACGATTGAAACTTCATATGGTATTAGAGCCCCTTCCATAAAGTGGTCTGGAGTTCAGTTCTTGCTGCCCCCATCTCATATCAAATTAAGCTTCAGCACATATAGTGGTGAACATATACTTCATCTATACTTAAAGGAAAAAGGCCATTTGCATGAGGGTGTGTATTAGAGATATAAATCAAAACCATTCCAAGGTCTTCTCTTGATGGCTTAAACTTTCAAGATGGTTAGTCTGTGAAATAGGTAATCATTATAACTGTAGGCTTCACTTACGTTTTCCTTTTCTGCTAAGAAGATCACGGCAGGTATTTGTTTCAAGGTATATGATCATATATTCCTAGGAATGACAATCCCAAAATTCTATGACAGGAAATGCTATTTGTTAGTAAATTCAAAAACATTCAAAATCCTAATGATGGGAGAAAGAATGTGGTCGAATAAGTGGGAGTTGAAGTTAATGATTGGGTTACAAGGTATCTTTCTGTAAGGGGGTGAACCCTAACAGAGAAACAAGAAAGAAACGAAAGAATACACAACTTTATTATTCAGAATGTTCTTCACTTTGTTACAGATGTCCTTTTATAACTATCACACCTAACTAACCACATGCAATCCTTTAGCAATGGACACATGGCCTTAACTAACTAACAGACTGCCACCTCACCTCACTAATCACAATACAACAGCCTCTTTACTATTAAACCCTCACTACAATACTGAGATACAAATTCACAGTTATTAAAATACAACATATCCACTTAGACATTCACTACAAAGTCCTTTGCCCATGTAGGGGCTCCCCTATTTCTTTTACTCGTAACACTTTCATTCCCATGCCATAGGAATGCTGCATACCCACTCCTCATCATGTGAATAAAAATCAAGCAAAACTTAGATAATGCCCAGGATGTTGTTTTTTTTATCGTTTATCAAACATGGGAATATCATACACCCGAGTTCACTTTCCCAAAAGTAACTCAACAATTCTTAAAACAAAAGCAACCTTAGGGAAAGGATATAGGCATCATATACATTTGATTCTTTATGGGCTTCTCCAAGGAACCAGAAAACTACCTATGGTGGTAAGAGGTATCTCAACAAGGAAAGGGATGAAATGGAACTATTTTTTAGAAGCACCTCTAATAATGAAAGTGTATAATGAAGATACTTTCCAAAAAATCATATGAAACCAAGAGCTGTTATTGTGGAGTACCTAAAGCCCATAAGTCAGTAACTACCTACTGGCAACTAGTGCATATGCCTCAATGTATGTAGGTATGAATATATGTCTATAAGAGAGAACATTAAGAGAAGACAATACACAATAGCAGAGACACCACGACAGTAACGCTCCCACATTGTTCGGAACCTCCTTTGTCCACCAAGGTCCCAAAGCTTTATTGTGACATTTCCCTTTGTGACTTTCCGCATGTTGAAACCAACCTGTGTTTAATACAAAAAGGATTAGATATTCATGCTCACAATCATCAAATATGTAATTCAAGATTTAATTGAAAAATAAAAAAGATACGGACAGTTGGAATCATGTCCTCACTGTAGCCCCCGGTCTGATAAACAAAAATCAAAAGATCAACGTCAAAAATATGGCAATAAGTGCAATAACAGTATTGAAATTCAGGGTTTGCAATGCATCAACTCACAGCAATTGAATTGACAAGAGATGTCTTCCCTGCATTCTGAAGGCCCACAAGGGAAAGTTCCATCTCCTGTTTAAAAAACAAACTGACACAACATACAGTGCACACACAAATTCAGCTTAAGTTATAAATCAATTAGCCTATTCATACAAACCACATAAAGTAATAGAGGTTCAACTTTCAAATTGTGGGCATATCCTAGCAGTTGGAATGAAATTTCACAGATAATAAATAGAAACAATTGAAGTAAAATAAATAAACGAAAAAATGATGTTGTAAAAAAGAGGTTACCTGCGGAGCCAGTTGAGAAGGGAATCCCAGAGACCCATTGTGAATTAGAAGAGATATTGAAAGAGAAAGAGAGAGAGAGAGAGAGAGAAAAGGAGGTAGAGGCCGGAGGAAACACGAAACTTGGCCGAATAGAATGTTAAGGAAGGAAGAATGGATTGGAATCTAGAATGAGAATGACGATACGACATAACATACGTCTTCTTGTCTGTTCCTTTTCTAGTACCTTGTTTTGTCATTAACCGCCATTTCGACCTTGCTACTTTCCCCTCTCTCGCATGTACTTTGTATAATGCTTTTTTTTTTTTTTTAAATAAATTACAGAATCCTATTTGGAGCGAGTTTAAGATTTAGAAGGTATATTGAATTATGATTTTAAAAGATTTTTCTTAGATAATTTTTTTTATAAATTTTAACAAATTATTTAAAATTAGAAGAATTTTTTACCATTAAGATTTTATAAGATTGAATTTTAAAGAATGTTAATAGAATTTATAAGATTTGAAATAACAATATGAATTTATAAGATTTTAAAAAATCATATGAATTTTTAAAAAACATTACAAAATTATAAGATTCAATAAAAAAAATAACAAAGAGTTTACCGAAAATAAAAAAGATAAGAAATGCAATGATATTAATAAAAATAATAAATGTCATTTTTGGTCCTCAACAAATTTTACGATGTCCGCTTTAGTCTCTAGCAAATAAAAAGGCTCATCGTGGTCCCTAAGAAATTCAAAGTGGACCCATTTAGTTGAAATCGTGGTCCCTCATAAATTCAAAAAAGACCTATATTAGTCCCTAAAAGGACTAAAATGGGCCTATTTTGAATTTCTTAGGGACCACGGTGGGCCTTTTTATTTGCTCAGGACTAAAACGAGCTTCGTGAAATTTGCTGAGGACCAAAAAGGGTATTTACTCTAATAAAAAATATATATAATATAATATAATTTTCTCAATCACTAAAACATAATATAATTTTTAACAAACATTCAATTACTAAGTAACAGATTTCCACATATCTAAAGTTATACTAGTCCTCCACGCATTATCATTTTCTCGTTCTTGCTCTTGGATTTGATCAATGAGTTGAAAATTATCTTCTTCATTTGATATCAGAGCTATGCATATATGATTATAAGACCTATTTTATTATTTATTTAAATAATTATAAATTTGCATATAGAACCTAAGGGCCTGTTTGGAGCACCTGATAAAGAAGATAGGATAGGATAACTTATCATATCCTACTTTTATCTCTTATTTGGTGGGTCAATAGGATATGATTAGCTTATCCTATTGTCTCATTTTATCCTATCCAATACATGATTTCTTATCCTATGGGGGAGCTGGGTTAGGATTCAACAGGATAGGATACCAAAATTGGATACCTAATATATCCCCACGCTACCTCCCTTCCAAACCCACTCCTCCCTCTCGACCATCTCCCTCCTCCTCGTCCTTGTCGAACTCCCCCCTCTCTTCTTCTCATGTGAGTGAGGCTCGACACAGTTTGGTGTGGTTGGAGCATTCAGGAAATTGGGTTATCTTAAACAGAAAAAATTTCATAATTTTATCAGATTGCTAATCAGGTGCTCATCAAACACATGATATAATATAAACTTATCAATCCTATATCATATCCTACTCTTATCCAACTCTTTTATCCTATCTGTTCTTATCCTATCATGTTCACCAAACGAGCCCTAAAGTTATTGATAAAATTTCGTTTGAAATTTTTTACAATTGACCTTAGAAACCTTGGAGGGTTTTGAGAGTTTTCTAATCATCTATCATATGCATGTTTTCATTGAGTATTCTAAAAAAAATTTGAATTTGAATTTCTGGGTTTTTTTTACATGAAAGTTTAGAAATTTTCTCAAATTATTTTTAATCGATACATCGAAATCTTAAATTGCTTTGAGGCTTTCGAAAAAAGAGATTTTAATTATCTATTGACACAAAAATTGTTTGAAATTGTTTCTTATAGCGAATGAATTTAGTTCATGAATGTGTTATTACGAAATATAGGGTTCATAATTATGAAAGTTTCAATCTTTCTTTAAATTTATATTGTTTTATTGATGTAAAAAAAATTAGTTTGAAGGTTTTAGTTACCTGTCATTTTTTCACATTTTATGTTATTTTTAAGGGAAAGGATATCGTAACAACCAATTAATATTATTACCAATCAATTTGACCGTTAGCTCGATTATGTTGATCCAACGGTTATGATTATTTCCATCTTTGTGTGATTATTATTCCACATATTTAACACTTTATATTTATTTTCACCTTTGTATGGTTATAATTTTCCATATTTAATGTGAAAGCACTAAATATGAAAAATCATAACCATACAAAGATGAAAATAAATATAACCGTTGGATCAATATAATCGATCTAACGATGAAATTGACTGGTAGTAACATTGATAGTAACACTAATTGGTTGTTATAATATTCTACCTCTATTTGTAAAACAAAAATCACATATTTTGTGCCAAAAAAATTATGACCAATAGCTTGAAAAAATATTTTGTAAACATCCAAAAGCTCTAAAAAATCTGTTATTTTTGAGTTTTGACGATGCTACCATGGCGAAACTCAATTTCAAGCGGGTCAACCCGCCAAAGGAATAAGAAGACACTGCAATAGAGAAATCTCAAAAAATCATAAGGGTTATGGTTAGGGGTCTGCAAAATAACCAAAAAACTGAACCGAAGCATGAACCGTACTGAACTACACTTAAAATAATCAGTTTTTAAAAACTACTTCATGAATCGAATCAGTTTTTAAAAATCGGTTCATGAACCGAACCGGTTTTTAAAGAACCAGTTCATAAACCGAACCGATTTTTAGAACCAGTTTATGTACCGAACCGTTGCCGAACCGAACAGAACCGTTCTCGAACCGAACGATTTTTATAACTTTATTTTTATTTTATTTTTTCTTTTCAAAATAGGGTCGACCCGAACTCGTTCCGAACCGAACCAATATGTTTTCAACCGAAACAGTTTTGAATCGAATCGAAAATTCGATTCAGTTTTTCAAAAAAAATTGGTTCGGTTCGACCTATGCATATCCCTAGTTATGGTGAGATTATGAATAGGCATTCTATTTGTATTTCTAACTAAAAATCACGAAATCCACACAAATAGAAAATACATCAAAATCTTCACACACAAAAAAATACATTAAAATCGTTAGATTTTTGAATACCACGATTATTTTCTTTTGTTTAAACTCCTAATTGAATACTAACAGATTTGGATAACTTTAAAATAATCTTTTAAAATTCTAATCGAATACCACATGAGTTTTTTTCATTCCTTTAAATCTTAATTGAATATCAATGTATTTTTTTTCCAAAAATAATCCATTAAAATTCTTTGAAATCTCAATCCAATACACCCCTAAGACTTTAAGTCTCTCTCAAATATGATATTTAGGAGGATCGAATATATGCTCTCACTTTTATTTACTCAGCTTCCATACATCAATTGAACTGCTATTATTTGGTTGTATAATGGTTATTTAATTATTAATAACATTAACATGTACAGATATTATGAATTCAACCATTTTAGCAATTCCTTGACATTAAACGAATAATTCTATATTACGTTTACTCAAATTAATATACAGTAAGAAAATAATGTTATCACTTCCAATAGTTTAGTCAATAGTTAGAAAAAAAAGATTAAAATCCGTAGTTCCATTACTGTGTCACACTTTTACATTTTTTTTTAAAAAAAGTTGAAATTAATTTTCCACTCAGAATAAAATAAACTTTACAGAAGTTGAATGCAGGGTATCAATTATATTCCATGAAATAATAATTTCCATTCATTTTAAAAAAGGAACATACATATACCAAAAAAAAAAAAAAAAAACATTGGTGTTCTATTCGAAACAGTGACCAGACTACAACATTTTTGGCAATTTTTTATCAATCTATCATGCAAATAGTATTTTTTTATCAAACTGTCATGCGTTAAAGACCATTACGACTGGTACCGAACTTAATAGTCAATGATTTCATGACATGTGATATACTTTTACAGAAAAAAACTAACTGGACGAAGTTCGCTACCAAGGGTAGCGAACATCGTGCGCCATGTGGCACAATCTCATTATTCGATCAAAAAATATACCAATCACCATAAAAAAGAAGAATAAAAATGACTACTTAATTAATGTATCAATCAAAATTAATGTATCAATCACCAATCGTAATTAGCATACAGTGAGATTAACTTTTAGTTGTACCAATCACAATTAATTTACCAATTACCAATTACTTCGGAGAGCCATAACTTTTGATTCGGATATCAAAATCAGATATTTTTTATTTGATTTCATATAACTTTTCGAGATCTACGCAATGTCATCTCATTTGACCTATTTTATCTCTCACAAACATCATTTGAATTTGTAACAATGGTATCACAAACAATTAATGTATCAATCATCAATCGTAATTAATGTATTAATCAAAATTAATTGTGATTGGTACATTAATTGTGATCAAAATTAATTGTGATTGGTGATTGATATATTAATTATTATTGGTGATTGATACATTAATTGTGATTAGTACATTGATTAAATAGTCATTTTCCTTCATTTTTTTTTTGATTGTGATTGGTACATTAATTCTGATCGGGCAACGAGATTGGACCACGTAGCGCACGAAGTTCGCTACCCTTCCTATCCACTTTTTCTGGAAAAATATGCCACATGTCACGAAATCATTGATACTAATTTTGTTACCAGTAATAGCGAACTTGGACACGTGACAGTCAGCTTTTCCTGTGAAGGTATGTCACGTATCAAAAAATCATTCGCTATCAAGTTCGCTATCAGTCGTAGCGAATTTTAACGCGTGACAGTCTGATTAATTTTACTGTTTGCATGACAATTTTGTATATAAATACCAAAAACGTAGTACATTGGTCACTATTTCGTTTTATACTGAATTTTTTTTAAAACCTTTACAGCGTATGCTACATTATATATCATGTACTATAGTTTAAGGATTAATTGATATATGATTAGGGTTTATTATCTATCATTTAACATGATCACAAAAAGTTTCATACACACACATCATTTTGTGGGGCCCACAGCAAAAAAACAAAAAAAACTTTGGCATGCAAAACGAATCTCTATAACATAACACAATCAGTTTTCCTACAACATAACTCTTATAAAACCCATATGATTATATACA